AGCCCCTAGACCAGGATACCTCCCTCTCCTCCAACCCCCACTGCTCTCACCCAATGGCCAGTGAAGTCTCAAAGTCAATTCTCTTGTCCTCCAGAAACCTCTCATCTAGTGGGAGGTCACCTAAATTGGCCGCAGCCACATTCAGGATCAGCCCATCCTTCCAGTTACCCCATCTGTGAGGCAGAAATGAAATCAGGCATTGATTCCTGGAAGGGCCAGGACTCACTGCCAGGTCAGAAGGGGTCAGGGCGGGGTAAGGCTAACCGGTACAGCTTCCTTCTCTCTTCTAGCTCCTCCTCCCTGTGTTTCTTGAACAGGCCTTGAGGGTCCTCTACCAATGACCTGCCTAGAAGACGAAAGAGGGCGTGGACAAGGGCATTGAAGAAGAGGCTTCTCCTGAGAGCCTCTCCCTGCCTCCCCTGTCCCTGCCAGGGGTGCCTCTCAGCCCACCCTTGCGGGGGAGGGGTCACCCTTCAGCATCAGGCCCCTCCCCAGTCTGTGCACCAACTCCAGCAATCCACATCTTCCAAAAGGAAAGAAGACCAGCCCTCTGTTTCTCACCCTCACACCCAGTTTCCTCTTCTCTCCCTCAGCCCCAGCTTCTCTTGGGCCCCAGAGGCCTCCTCACACCCCACCCTGCGCTCACCTGTGCCCTCGGGGAGGCTCAGGACGCCATTGCCCTCCACCCAGCGGTAGCATGGGAACCTGAACTCCTCCCCACCGGCCCCAGGGCCCTGCACGGAGATCCAGTTGCAGAACCAGGCGTCATCCTGTAGGAGGTGCTTTTTGCGCATTTTCACGAACAGCAGCGGCCCCAGGTACTCCTTCACGTCCGCCTGGAACTCCATCTCCTGAAGGCGACACGAGGGGCTCAGCATCCATGGCGATCGCCAGGAGCAGGTACTGAACGGAGCCCAGCTCCCTGCCCAGGCCCTTCTGCTGGGCCTCTGGGAAGCGGCGCCAAAGGAGCCAAAAGAGAAAGGGGGGCGCGCCGACCAGGTGTTCCCACGTCCCCATTATGGGCCGTGGAGTCCTTCAGCCCGGGTGAGGCGGAGGAGGGAAGGTGCACTCCTTCCTGCCCTCTCTCCTCCTCTCTCCTCCTCGCAGTCACTGATCCTACCGAGCGCTGAGCTGGGCGCGGGGCACCGCCGCGGGCGAGCGCACCGTTGCGCGGGGAGATACACTGCGGACCAGGCACTTGCAGCCCAGAGACCCCGGCGCCCCCTCCGCTCGTGTGAGCGGAGACCGCTAGGTGTGGAGGGTTTGACCAGGGAAAGTGAGAGAGAGGGGAGGTTGGGGAAATGCGTGCCGGGGAGAGGAAGCGAGACCCCGGAGGCTGAGCGAAGGCGAGGCGGTGTGGAGCCGAGCATGCGGCCGAGCAAGGAGCGCGTGGGAGATGAGCGTGAACAGTCTCAAAGGGCAAGCCAAGAATTCGGTCCTGAGAACCCGCAGAAGCCATTCAAATGTTCGTGGGGAGGGGCGTGTTAGGGGTGGGGGTGTATTTGGAAGATGTCCATCTGGCTGCAGAGGGCTTGGAAGGGCAGGAGAGGAAGCGGCCGGGGTGAGGGTAGAGGGCTGAGGGGTAGCGGGGGTCGGGGAAGAGGCTGAAGGTGGCCACGTAGGTTCACGAGGACACTGGTGGTCGGGGGCAGGGCGGGCATCCGAAGCCGGATGCCTGAATGTCCAGGAGGCAGAATTGACAGCGCTGGATTCTTGGTTGGAGGCTAACAGAGCTGGATGCTCGCGGGACCCCTGGGGGGTGGGGGGGGGCAAGCGGAGAGGTGTGGGGTGGGAAAGGGAGGATCTCGCTTGGGCAGGTTCCTTTGAGGTATCCCAGGGACAGACATCCGGAGCTGTGGGTCCTGGAAAGAGCTGGGCGGGCGAGGGAAATGTGGGGATGGGAAATGGGGAAGAAAAAGTAATAGCAGCCCGGGGCGAACCAGGTAGATGTGATGAGAGAGGGGAAGGGGCCAGGAAATTCAGGTCTTCCTTTC